CTCCGGTCTGTAACTGCTCTGCTCTGCTCCTGGAACGCGCTTGGTGTGAACAAGGCCTAAGGGTCTGGTATGACTTTTAGGGGGAACCCCATGCTTTTTAAAAAAATATGTGGTCCCTCTTAACATTTAGGTCTTGTAGGAATGTTTGGGAGAGGGAACTGCACGCTTTAAGAATGAAAAAAAAAGTAATTTTTTTTTCTTTATAAATGTCATTTTTACTGCAGCAGGTTTTATATATGGTAAAAATTTGCCACTTTACAGGCAGTTTAAGGGGACCACCTAGGCACAATATTTAAAGGAATTTTTCATTTTTATTGTTACCCTTTGTGATGTTAAAATCACTGCTCCTTTAAAACTGTATTTAAAAAAAAAAAAAATGTCATTGATTCCTGTCCACCAGGGCAGTACCTGGATCCCTATACACTTGTATGGACAATAACTTGCAATATAAGCCCTCTTAAAGGGGACAATTGTTTTTTGAAAGTTCTACCCCCATTGACTTGCATTGAGTTCCAGTTCGAATTCGAACATTTTGGATCTTCTAAAGTTCGAATTCGAACCGAACTCGGGCCTGTTCAACCCATCACTAAAGGCAATGTCATTTCTAATCCTGATTCAACATATATCAGCTGCTCATAATGGTGGCAGTATAATTTACGGATAAGCGAGCAATCCCAGAAAACTGACATGTTTAAGTACTGGGCTAGAAGAGGACAACACTAATTACATAACAACTAAAAATGTGTGAATGGATAGGCTTTTTATTGCAGAAGAACCATACTATGTAGGAATCAAAGGGGTGTAGTAAACCAGAATTATAGCACAAAAACAACGATCGCTAACAGATTTTTTAATTGCAAAGAGCCTTCAATGCAGAAGAGACATAGAAGAGAATTTATCAAAATTGGAGCAGACAGAACATGGAGCAGGTTATAGATTTCCTGGGTGCAGATCTGCTGAGGTGACACAGCTAAGAGAAGTTAGCAATGTTTGGCCTTATTCAGCAATGAACTCATATTCTTAAAGAGTATGTCCGGGCAAAGTTAATAAAAAGCATATGTTGTACATCTCTGCAATACATTCACATTTCCCCATGCTGTATCCATTTAAACATGCTGTAAGTACAGAAAAAAAACCTGTTGATGTGCCAGAAATGCAATGGGGGTACTTTATTAAAACTGGAGCAGACAGAATCTGGAGCAGTTGCCCAAATTAACCAATTAGCTTATCTCTTTAGTTTGTTTAGTTAAGCTTTGAAACTGAAAGATAGAAGCTGATTGGTTGCCATGGGCAACTGCTGCAAATTCTGTCTGCTATGGTTTTGATAATTTCCCCTTCTTGTATTTTTTTTAATCTCAGATCCAAAGCACGTTGACAGCCCTTCACTTCATTTCTGGCGCATTACAAAGAACACAGACCTCTTCTCATCACCTTCCCCTCCTCGCCTCTATAACCTCTCCTTGTGCACAGGCATCACAGAAAGTTATCAGCGCACAAGAATTCTGGAAAAATCACCTTCTGTGATGTGGCGACTAGACATTTAGTGGTAGCCAGGGCTGTAGTCAGCTGCTTTGAACAGGGACTGTTACTGTGAGGCAACCTTTCACTTTCTAATTGTTAAGGAACTACTAGACAGCAACACAAAAAGGTTAAACTACACACACTGTTTTAATTCCATACTAGCATGAGGTGATTGTCAACAAGTGGTGAAACCACTCAGTAGGATAAGCTTAATTACAGGTCTATTCACTAAAGGGGGAAGAGTTTGGAGAAGACAGGAGAAGTGAACAATCTAGGACAAAATAGCTGATTTGGAAAAATTCTCCAATTCAGCTCACTTTCCAGTTCAGCTATGTTGTCCTAGATTGTTCACTTCTCCTGCCTTCTCCAAACTCTTCACCCTTTAGTGAATTGCCCTGTTAGCGACCACTGAAGCTATAGCATGTTTTATTTTGTTTGCAATGACCACCAATATATGCCAAGTGATTGTTTTCAACAGCTAGTTAGCTACCAATGTATAACATGGCTGTGATGGCACTGTCTACAAAAGCAACAAGACCTTTGTACTGACCATAAATATATAACAAGCACATTTCCATGCCCACCAATGCACTAAAAGGTATATTTCTGTGCTAACCACCCATGTAATAAAAGAGCCAAGTTTTACTGCCCACCAATGTAGGGAGAGCTCTTGTTCTGTAGCATATCAGTGATGAGAAATGCTGTTATTAGGGATGCAATAAAATTTAATGGCCACCAGCATAAAGTGATGGGTACCATAGAGATAGGTTTCAAGAGGGCCCCATCAAACCTTTGCTATGAGGCTCTATGATTTGGTATGTCCTTGCAATGCCTACTAACTAGTTGAGATCGACGAAGACAGGCTAAGGTTAAAAATGCATACACGGTAGCATGACTGAGAACAACAAGAAGACATAGGGTGCACTTACTGCATCAACAAGGTCTTTCACAGGCAGATATTTTATGTAAGACAGGTGTTTCCAGATGTGCTATCCAGTAGCACAGGTCTGAAAATGCAGTGGTCGGCCTAGGAAACTTAGTGCAGCAGATGAAAGACACATCATGCTGACCTCTCTTTTCGAAACACGTCCATTAGCACCATCAGCTAAGGCTTGGCAGGAACCAGTGGGAACCTGATACACTCATTTACAGTCTGGAGAAGTCGGGTTAGAAGTGGTCCTCAGGGAAGGCATGGAAACAAGGCCAAGTGACTTGCTTATACATGAAAACACAAGAAACGGTGTGCACAAATAGTCAACATATGAAATATTTGGCTGTAACAGAATGCAATTTGTTTGCCAAAGGCCTGAAGAGCATTGCACACATGAATGTCTGCAAGAAACAGTAAAACATGGTGGCGGTTCCTTGCAGGTTTTGGCCTGCATTTCTGCACATGGATTTGGTCAGAACTTAATGCTAAAAAAATCAGGCAGATACTTATCCATTATGTAATATCATCAGTGACGTGTCTCTTCAGTTCTGAATGTTGGAAATGCAACAGCATATACTGATACTGTATGCACTGATTGCATTACTGACTGCAATATGTCTTTTGAGCTGTAGATGGCAGTATAGTTCAATGTTAGTCTCTCTATATGCATGCTTATGTATGATCCACAGGAAGTTTTTAGAGGTGCACCGAAATGGAAATTTCAAAACTGAAACAAAACCGAAATTAAAAAAATTGTCAGGCCGAAACTGAAAATGTTTTTTATTTTCATTTTTTCAATTTTTAAAAATATTTTTTTTTATTTATTTTTTTATAAACTTTTTAAATATTTATATTTATTTTTATTTATTAATTTATTTTTTATTAAATATTTTTATTTTTTACTTTACTTTTAGGGGCTTCGGGGAATGCTCTCCATCCACGCTGTCACAGGAGGCTGAGCGAGCGGAACAGGGAGGAAAGCTCAGCCTCCTGTGACAGCGCTGTCTCTGCCCCCTCACCGCTCTGCCGGACTGTGATAGGAGGCTGAGCGGTGTGGGAGGAGAGACGCTGGCCGCTCACAGCGCTCTCCTCCCGCAGCGCTCGGCTGGCTGTTACACTTTCTCTCTTGTGCCGATACATCGGCGCAGGGATGCGCCGATGTATCGGCACAAAAATGGCACTGTCGGCATTTAGCCAAAAGTGCCATTTTCGGCTGATATGTTTCGGCGGCCGATATATCGGTGCATCCCTAGAAGTTTTCCTCTATATAAGTTTCCGGCACAAAGCTGTATACACAGATGTAATGTTCTTATCAGCAAGTAAAACTTAATTCAGCATTCCTCAAGATCTCAGTGCTTCATTTAGACACACAACCAACACTGAGTTAATTTTCCAGCAGGACAATGACCCCAAACATACAGCCAAAGTCAAAGACAGAAGCAACTGAAACAGACTAAACCAACAGAAAAACTCTGGAAAGTTCTCCTTGATGTATGGAGCAACCTACCCGCCAAGTTCCTTAAAAAAAAGTGTGTGCAAGTGTATCTGGGAGAATAAATGCTAATTAAAAAGCAAAGAGCAGAGACATCAAATATTGATTTGATGGAGTTGTCTTCTGTTAATGCATTTGTAGGTTGTCAATTCATAAATAGAATCTATTCTTAGCAATATTTTTTAAAAACATCCTCACTTTACAGCATTTCTTCACAAGTGACTAGAACGTTTATGCAATACTGTATATACTTTATTTATTTAGACCTCAGACTGCACAGCTCCAGCATCCAATGGCACATATCATAGGGGGTTTGTTGCCTGAACCCAGAAGAGGCAGTCAGTTCTTGTGGCTGAAGAGGACCAAGATGGCAGCATAGGGCCCAGATTGTGTCACCCGAATAGTGGATAACAGCAGGATAATGGAGAATTCGCTGGGCAGGGGCATATGTAAATTGAGGAGAATGTTGCACAAAAGGTAGAAAGAGTTAAAATCTAAGTTATATATGTAAGTGACATCTTCTTGAACTTGGAAAGGGTTGCTGAGGTGTTTCTAATCATTTGTGGGTTATTAGTCCTGCAGAGTCTGAGGGGGAAAGTGTACAGGGAGGGCATGGGGAAGGGGGCCTAATACTGGGAAGGGATGTGGGGCCTACCATAGGATCCTCCTATCCTCCAGGCCAGCAGGCCAGTGTAATCCTGTTTACAGTAGTAATCAAAGGAGAAAACACAAAACACTGCAAACGATGAATGTTGCTGAGTGTGACTTATTCTGTAAAGCAAAAAAATGCATTTTACATCAACCCTATCTGTCACTTCTCATGAATGTGAAAATCTTTATTGATTTTCTTAAAAGGCAGTCTGTGAGTTAATAGTAATAAAAAGTTATCATGCACATTTTATAAACAGACATAGTTCTGCTTACCATTGACATTATATGATACTGAAACAGTTCTCAATAATAAGTGAAATCTTAAATGTTTTGTTATGCTAATTGAGTAAATTTCAAAAATTATACTAAATTAGATTACATTATAGCAAATCGTTTTTCTTTTTGACTGAAGCACAATAAGTCTGAGTAACAGGAAGTCCAAGGAAGGTCTTCAGCTTAGAACAACAAGATTGTACGGATGCTTTCAGAGAAAGAAAAAGGAAACAAAATCAGAAACTACACGTTAAAATTAGGGTTGCACAGATACTTTTCGAGTATCAGTGCAGATACTTGGCATTTTCATGAGAACTACCAGGGTTGCAGTGGTTGCAGCTGGGACCGGGCTCTGGCGCTCCACCACTGTCCTAAAATCATTAGTCTGTATTGTTTTAGAAAAACTGTCACATGACAATAAACAAAAATGTATCAGTATCAGGCAAGTACCAGTACTCATACTCGCAAAACTGGTATCTGTGCATCCTTTTATTTATATTTATAAAAACAAAATCGTACATTAAAACAGAGATGTACAAATCCCAGGAGCTCCGTGTGCTCCTTACAAATGACAGCTGCCTCCTAATTTTTTAATTTTTCTCTAGTGTAGTCTTGGAGCTCAAAAGTATCGGCACTTGTACTCGTACTTGTACCGAGTACTGTACTTGGTATCTGTGCAACCCTAGTTAAAATCAAATTATCAGTTAACAGACTTATACGTTACAATATGTGTTACATGTCTTAAAACAGAAGTCAACTAAAGCTAAACATAATAGTGAATTAAAGGTTAACTCCAGGCAAACAGGTAAAAACACAGGTAACATGGACCTGAACTCAAAAAGTGATGAACTGGTGGCTGCATTTATTTTGTTTTTTGTAGGCTTTATTCCTTTATTTTCATCTGGTGATGCGGCCAGTAAGTCTGATAACTTTTAACTTCCTTCAACAGACCAGACTGTCCAGCAAAAGTGGTACATAGAGGGTTGGGACATACAATTCAACACTAACAGGGGTGCCTGCAATGGTTAACTATTGTTAATTTATGTAAAACCTTTATCCCATGACTGTTACTGTAACAGCTTAACAGGTGTTAGCTGGCGTTCAGATATAATTTGTTAGTCAAGTCCATCTAAATCTACTAGTGCATCTAACACTACCCTCTTCACAGGGTGACAATGCTGCTGTCCAAGGGTGACTTCATTGCTCCTTCATGGAGTGGAGATTAGAGGATTTGGTTCCCCATGGTGCTTGTGTGTTGTAAAGTAGCCACCGCTCCATACTCGCTCCAGCTCAATATTGTAAACTAAACTAAATATAAGATTATAGTCCATCATGGGAGTGAGCTTGGAGCGGTGGCTACTTTACAACACACATACGGACCATGGGGAACAAAAGTAGCCACCCTCCAGAAGGAAGGTCAGTGTCAGTACCATTTCAGCTGAGTGATACACACAAGCTACATTTTCATTAATGGTTGGGGTACATGAATGCATTTTTAAGAATTAACTTCTGCGTTTTCTTTAAAGTGACATGCATTTCTTAACACCTAACTTATATTTACACTACAGCTATTTAAAAAAATCCAGGAGTTCTGCTTTAAGTTGGTGGGATGCAATAATGGGATAACTGAAGAAGTATACCATAATTATTTTACCCATAATGAGTCGTTGTGAAAATATCTGCAAACTATGGTCATATGCCCAAATGAAGAAAAATGTTACAAATCCCCATGCATTTCTTCTGGGAGTAATGGAGCATTGTATGTGCTAGCTACAATAAGAAAAGGGAATGGAGAAACATGTATATTTGAAAGTGCAGCCAAATTAGGACAACGCCTATTTTATATTTGTTACATGTTCTCATTCACATAAAATAATTTAAAAATAATTACATGTTTTCTACTATTACTACTTTTCTTTAAACTGAATTTTTCCCCTGGAATGAAAGGGGGCTGGGAAGATTACCATAATTAACCCTGTTTGTACTATGCTGTCAGGTCTCATTATCATTTGTAAACTGGATTTGAACACTGTCTATACTAAAAAAGGGTTAAAGACTTAGAAACATTGTATGTTAAAGAGAAAAACCTCAGTGTCCCTAGTCTTTGAGGACAGCCGGAGTTTCCAGTCACTTTGAAATGTATAGAAACACTTGCAGTCTGTCCAAATGCCTGCTGCGCAGAGATTTTTTAAATGTA